AAGAAATTTCTGATGGGAAAGTAACAGTTCATACTTGACAGAAAACCTTACCGCGAATGGATCTGAGCCAGGTCCATGAGCGGATCAGACTTTTCCATGCGGGACGGGACGCCCAAGAGAGGACCCAATGCCCGCAGTGCAACATTCGCGGACGCAACGTTGCATGCGGCGCCCGTATGAAACCGCACGTCGCGGAAGTAGTCGATGGCCCCCCCGGCCATCTGCGGCAGCTGTTGTTGAATCCCGGCCCCAGACGAGCTGCCGGAGGCGCCCCTATCAGGACGCGCGGTGCTTGCTACGCGCGGAGCATGCTCCGCAAGCATCAGAGGTACGCGCGGCGTCACCGGCGCCGCCTCCGCCGCTGGTTCAACAATGCGCACCGCCTTCGGCGCCTTCTCCACAATGGTCGGCTGCTCCGCGGCCTTCCTTTTCCCACCCTTCTTCCCAGCAGCCTGCTCACCTTCTCTCGCCTTCTTCCTCCCGGCGCGAGGAGCCTTCACAACTTCATCGACCGACATCATGCTGGCCAGGCTAGAAAAATCAACACCTGCGCCAATAAATAGTAAGAGGGCGGTTAATAATAAAGAATACAAAATGAAAGAGGTACCAACTAACCATCGGCAAAGAGTTCGGCCAAGCAGGCCTCGCGGACCCCAGCCAAGTACAGATTGAACTTCTGAAGCAAGCACGCCTCATACTCCCGATCAAGCCCGGGGTACTTGCCCAACTCCGACTCGTAGGCGTGCGTGCCACCCTTCATCCAGGTAGTCGGCTCCGCAACATACTCACTCGCCCATTCCCCGGGAGTGGGCTTCACGTAAAAGAAACGCTCGAACCAGGTCTTTTTCAGCTTAGGCGAGCCGTACACAAAACCGTCAGGCCTGTTGTCACGGCGCTTGATCGAGAGACAGTCACTTGTCTTCGTGGGCTCCTTGATCTTGTAAAACTTCTGGAATAACCCATAAGTGGGCGTAATCTTGAGCCGCTTGCACGCCGCTCTAATGCAACTCGCGTGCATAATAACTGAGGGAGATAACCGCGCGATTGAGCACTTGAGCTGCCTGTATAAGGCGCACAACAGTGGATCGATGGGAAATTTAAATCCCATCACCCAGTACTCCGTGTAAACGCCGAACCACCCTGGGGGGCAGTTCCCAACCATGCTGCGCACAGAGGGTACGGCGTACTGCCAGCTAGGGGGCAACCCTAACCCACGCACAATCTCCTCCACATCCTCACGCCCATAAATCGAGGCGTGGTCGGGGCCACGGAGAAGGTTGTCATGTGGGGCCGGCTGATCGCCCCACATCTCGGCCCAATCCAAAACCGTGTAGACCGCGCCAATGCCTTGGAACCCTAGCCGGCTCATCGCTTCTGACACGCGGACATGGTAAAGGGGCTCCGATTGTGTTTCTGATCCATCGCGCGCCTCAGAAGTCGCCCCCGCCAGATCTCCCGTCATGCGAACGCCTGATTATTAGAACCCCACTAGAGCCCGCCGGCCCACTACCCGACGGAACCATATCGGCGTTAGAAGACTCTTGAAAGCCCCTGCCGGAATCGACGTTGGCCGACGGCGATGCCGAAGCCCCCTCGTCATCACTAGCACCGTCGTCGTTGTTAACATCACCGTCGTCCCCGTTGCCGGAATCGGCCGGGTTCGACTCAAGTCGGGTAGAAGTAGGTGAGAAAGAAAGAAGATTACCTCCTTCGCCCTGCACGACCTCGGTCTCATTGATGTTGGTGCTATCCATGGCAATACCTTGAGTAGCAGTAGCAAATGGCAGACTTGAGGTTAGGGATGGCAATTTCGACCTGACCCGTTTTACCCGACCTGTTTGACCTGTTTTGGGGCGGGTCCGACCCGCCCCGTAGGCGGGGCGGGGCGGGCATGGGTAGTCTCATCGACCCGACCTGCCCTGGACCCGCCCCATTCTCGACCCGTTCTTGTCTAAATTACATGAAATCTTAGTCAAATTACTTTGAATTTTACTTTTATCGCATCATATTTTAGCTATAATAAAGTTGTAAATTAGTGAAAACCTCAATTTCTCCAATAATTTAACTACAATTGTCATAATATTGTTTATTTTCTTAGTTTTATAACAAAAATAACAATATTTCTAATGTTTTTCAGATAAATTGCATACCCATTGGGTCGACCTGCCCCGACCCGCGACCCGTGATCAATTACCTGACCTGGACCCGCCCTGCCACGGGGCGGGTCTGGGTACCAAGAAACCCGCCCCGGACCTGCCCCATTGCCATTCCTACTTGAGGTTGTAGAAGAAGAAGAAGAATCCCAGAAAACAGAGAAATGGAAAAGCTAGAGAGCAAAACGTGAGGAATGAAAGATGAAAGGAAACCCCGAGAGCAGTCGCATATTTATAGGTGATGATGGGAAGTTGAGGGGGTTAAAGGTCATCGAGAATCGCAACCGTCGGAGGATTTCGAAATTCAAAAGGCCGCCAGAGTTGACCAATCGCGTAGCGACACGTGGCAAACTCCAATCCCAATCAATCATAACGAGCATAGGCGCTAGTCGTTGACGTCACGAGTGACGCGCAACGCCTGGGGGGCATGACACACCCGCAAAGGAGAAAACCCCACCCCCAAAAAATACTCAAAGAGAACCCCGCGGAAATCGCGCCCACAAAACAACCGCGCCTCGCAACGAACAGAAGATTCCCCGTGGAGATCGCGCACGCAAGACAACCGCGTATCACCTCGCAACGAACGGAAGAACCTCAAGATAGTCACGCGATCACGACGTCCTCAAAGCGAAACACGTGGATCCGAGTCAACAGAGCGGAGATCTCAACAGGAGGCGTTCGAGAAACACCCCCTGTGGGGGGCAATTGTTGGGCATATGACTCGGATCGTCCCCGCGCCAAAGGAACATATCGGACCGCGCGACACAACCGCCGGCGCAAAGACCTTGTGCGCGGCAAGGGTAAAGCTACGCGCGCGAGTGTGAAGACCAGGCGATAACCAGATCTAGGGGGCCACAAAGGGCGTCATAGCCGCAGAGGGCGTTATTGCGTTTCCCGAGGGAAGGTCACGTCAAGACTTTAGGTACAATCATAGACAACCCTCTGACAAGTCCTAGGTTAAGGGATGGCCTAAATCCCTGACACATCAGTAGTCACGTCGTTGTACCGTCTCGAAGTCCACCCACTCACCCACCAACATGTAGCCTATAAATAAGGCATTTACTCCGGTGGGTGAAGGGGGATCGCATTTTGGAACCATTTCTCTCTCTACAATAACAACTTATCTCTCTAAAATCCCTACTCTGGTTCTCACTCAATTCCCTAGTCTCAGACCTTCCGATCAAACCCATTGCTTGCACTTCTTCTTGACCCAAACTCTTACTCGAATCTCACTCCTACACTCAGTTAGGTTCAAACAATTGGCGCCCACCGTGGGGCCAAGAAGAAGCGCAAAAGAAAATACACCAATGGCAGAACGCAACCATGATCAACCTGACGAAGCAACGCCCATCAAGGCGATGACCGACCCAAGGGCGTTCGCAGAAGCCAGCAACCTCAATGCGGTGCTTATTGAAGAAGAAGAGCCCGAACTGACAGCCAAAGAAATGAGGGAGCTGGTGACAAAGCAAAACAACGTCATAGCTGACATGCAAAGGCAAATGAGCCAAGTCATCGCGCTCATGATGAGCAAGGAGGCCGCGCCAACAGCAGAGGGAACGGCGGTCGCGCCTCAACAAGCCGTGGGAGAAGCGTCCGGAACCCATTGCTTGCACTTCTTCTTGACCCAAACTCTTACTCGAATCTCACTCCTACACTCAGTTAGGTTCAAACACTAAACCCTAGCCTTCTTCTCCTTTTGGTTCGTGTTTCTCTCTCTAGAATGTAGAAGAAGGCTTTTCCACCAAATGGGATCTCCCCTCTCTCCTCCTTTAAGCTCATCTTTTAAACCAGAGATGAGCTGAGTTCACGGCTGTGAACCATGAAACGCGTCCGTGAACTGCAGGCGTGCGCCAAAAAGCGCTGCATCGTTCACTCGAGTTCACGGTCAACTGCCTTTGTTCATGGTCTTGCATGCCCGTGAACTCACCTTGCGTCACTAACCTTCACTTTGGCTCTGGACGCCTCGCGATTCACGGTAAACTCCTCTTCTTCACGGTCATGCAAGACCGTGAACTCCCTTTGTTAGCCGTGAACTGGCTCTTTTCACATCTTCTCCCGGTTTTCTATCCTTTTCACCAATCTTTCGAGTCCGAGGCTGGTTTCACCTGCTGAATCCTGAAACACACTCGAACACGAAGAACCTAGCGTAAAACCAACCTTAAGGTGTGAATTTGGCACAAACGCCGAAGTAAAATGGGGGCAAAACATGTGCAATTAGGCCTGAATCAAGGAGTTAGGGAGAGTTGTTGTCGTCGGGCTCGGGGCAAAGTAGCATTCTTGCTCTGAAACTATGTCTGGAATGTCTAGTCTATTGCGTTCTGCCTTCTTCCGAGTTGGTGAGTTCGATGGAGAGCAGCAGGCAGCAGCTGCAGCAGGTCGAGACACAAGACTTCCGATTGAAGGGGAGAGTAGTCTCCGAGGGCCGAGTGAGGGGAGAGGTAAGAGAGAGGGCCTGGTGGCCTACTCAGGTTTAGGAAATGGGCTGGACTGCGACTGGGTTTGAGCAGGATTTTAGATTTGGGCTAAACGAATTTCATAATTCTAATAGATAATATGGGTACCGAAACTATCCAAATGGGTATTAGCGGGTAACCCGCGGATATCCAAAGTTGAGATTTTTAATACCAAAAACCCGTTTCCGCTTGCCATACCAGTGGCGAACTCGCTTTGTTACACAAATTTCGCCAGCACCACAAACACTGTCCCTCTGCGTCTGGGTCTGAAGTCTGAACTCCGGAATCGCAAATCTCTTAGCAATCGCATCCGCCTGCTTCTCTCTACTTTCCTTTCGCATTAACCCTGAACCCTCTCTCTCGATTTTCTTGTTCTTTTATCGCAAATCAAACGATGACCGATCAGCCGCAGCGGCTGAGCATCGACAAACTCCGGCGAACGACCCATCTAATCAGACAGGCCACCGCCTCCTTCTCTTCGAATCTCCTCACATTTCTCTTCCTCTCTCTCCTACTCTTTTCCTTCCGAGCCCTCGTCGAGAATGGCACCCACCTTCTCACCTCCTTCATCGACCGTGACCCGTCCCTCAAAACCCTCCTATCCCGCCTTGACCTTGGCGGCCACCACCAGAACCCCAATACCATCCACGACCACAATCCTCGCTTCCACCGCCGCCACTTCCTCCACCTCACCCGTGTTGGGACCCTAGATGACGACTTCTTCTCCGGGGACGACGACTCCGATCGCTCGCTCTTCGGTCCGAATCGCAAGATTCCCCCAAATGCAAGCTCCGTAATTCTCAACAACTTCCACTCAGGGTTCGGGTTCTCCCACTTCATCGTCGATAACGGAGTTAGGGTCCCGGAAATTGTTCGCACCGGGGTTCAATTCAATGCCGACAGTCTGCCCTTTGAAGATAGTAAAGCGGAAGAGATTGATTACGACAGCAATGGGAGCCATCAACCAGAGGATGAAAATGGGCAGTCGATGGGTTTGCAGAAAGGTCGGGACCTGGACCGTGTTGTTGATTTCCAGTTCTTCGTTAAGGGGCTGGAGCTCGGCCGCCGAGATGCGGCGGCGCTCTTCTACCTAGTAAGTTTCTTGTCTGCGGCTTATGGATGGGTGATCCTCGGGTTCACGGCAATGTATTCCTGGATGTTAGGGATTGTGTTCGTTGCCGTGGTGAATGATCTGTTGGAGAGGTTCAGTTCATTTGTCGGTATCGTGTGGGATGGGTCGAGATTAGGGCTCAAGAGACTTACAGGCTTCATTCTTATGAGATGGGCAGTGAGGGATGCGTTGACTCAACTTGTGGGATTGTGCTACTTTGGAGAAATTGAGGATCAGTACTCGTTTTTCAAGCTGTTTGTGAGGCTAAAGCTGATGCCTTTCTCTGTTATGTCTCCGTGGATTGGTGGATACGAGAAGGAGATATCAGGCTTCTTGTTTACTTGGTTTCTGTTGGATACCTTGGTGGGGTTAGTATTTGCTGTGGATGCTTGGGTTACAATTGTTGATTCCAGGAGGACTGGTAGGGAGATAGTAAAGGAAGGTTGTTACTTGATATCAACAATGTTTCACCAAGCTGTTCAGTTGAAGTGTATGGAAGCTATACTCTGTGGATCTGCAACTAGATGGGTCTTATCCCGGGTATTGGGGAAGTACTTGGCTGCAATACTTCAATCGGTTGTGGAGGTTTACTTCATGGTGGCCTGGCTGATATTTTACTTTGCAGCAAGGTGCAAGGAAGCTCACTCTGAAGGAAGAAGGTTTGGGAGGAGAGAATTGGAAGGGCTAATTGATGGCCTGAGATGATCATTGATGATGTATATGGAAATGAATGCTTCCATTTGCATATGCCGATTTAGCAGCTGCAACGCTAGAATAGCAAAGCAGTGAAGACCTTTCAGTGCTTTTGTGTGTTGATCTTTTTGTAAGACTGCACTGGGAATATCGGCTGGTTTTGCTCACTCTGGAGTGAGCCATATCTGTTGTATGTACACTCTATAAAGAATGGGAAAAATATACTACTGTGTATATTCTTTTGTGCGAGAAATGAATGCCTTCCATGTGTATATTTCCATTCTTGCAGAGCATTGTTCTGAAGAACTGGGCAAAATACGCCTTTCTGTTGTTGATCTTGATAGAGGTACAAATTTTCCTCTGGATTGAGAGTTTGTGTGCATGTTTAGTGCTTTTTCTACTGCTCTATGTCTGACTGAAGCACGACTCGATGATAACGACCAGTTTCATTTGTTCTATCCACGTATTTAAGTGTACTTGCATTTGTATTGTTTGTAGTTTATGATCATCAAGCTTAACAATGAAGATACTTGGTGAAAGTTTGTTAAGAAAGTCCTCCGGTTTTGTGCTTTCTGTGGCTGTGACTAAACCATAACAATTCAGCTCAACATCAAGCCTCTGTTACTTGTTTTTTTGTTGTTGTTGTTGGTAGAACAAGCCTCTGTTACTTCCATTTGGTACGAAATGCTTGCATCAATACCAGATTGACTTGCTGGCTGGCTTCGACACAAGTTTGAACCGGGCATGGAGACAGAGAATGAAAATGGACTGTGGAAGGAGCTTTTGCTATATTCCAAGAGGTTTGTCGATTCAGAGAATCCCTTGATTATGGGCAGAAGCCTGATGTTGCAATTTACCTCTTCCAGAAGTCATTTGAGTAGACCACTAGCATATAGCTTGCTCATGGTTCCAGAATAATGTTAGAAAATAGATTAAGCATTATTAATGTAGTGCAAGTTTGGGCAGCTTCAGGTAACTATAGAAGAAGTACGTTAAAGGTCTTAAGACTTCAATCACACAATAAGTCCATCTAATTCTGATTGCATGGCATCCTTTTCCTCCAACCCAGGAGAAGACTTCGTCTCCCTATATTACAAAATTCCACATATTTAGTGTATGCCATATCCAGTTAATTTATGGATCGAATGCGTATATTAGCTCAATCCTCTTAAGAATTCTATGGTGAATATATAGCCGTGTCCTTCCTCCAAGAAAAGGTCACAGGCAAAGAAAAGTTGTGCCCTGCTGGGGGGAGCTGGCACATCGAAGAACATGGAGGAACATCTTCTCGTGACAGGGAATGCAGAGCTTGGAGTCGGCAGCAGTGAAGTCATACTCGTCCTTAGCCTGCTCCAGCAGTGCCTTGAACAAAGGGTGCTTCAGCAAGGTAATCTTGATCACGAACCTCTTGTAATCTTCCCCTACATATACAGCTAGATGGCCCTTTGGAACGTCCCTGGGAATGGACTTGGATTCATTGACAGCAGCCCACAACCCCCAGTGGTCTTTGCAGCAGTAGTCGCAGCCTCCAAAAGGTATGACTTTGCTCCCCATCTTTCTCCACTTGCTCATGCATGTCTCCACAAGCTGCTTCCCTTTCATTGTAAGTGAACTGAACTTCCTCCCTTTGGTGTAAAGTAGAGAGAGATAGAGGAGGAGTTGGAAGTTGGGGAGAGAGGAAAAGGAAGCTCTGGATGGATGGTTGCATTGCATTGCATGAAAGTGAGAGAAAGGTCGGTCTATAAATATAAATATACATTTGAGAGATAAGAGTATGTGCTAGCTTTGGCAAAAAGCATTAAATGGGTGATCTGACGGGTAGCTTAGAGGGAGGGAGGGAGGGATGGAAGTGAGTGTTAAATTGCATCCTCTTTCCTTGGCTGTTTGTTTTCTTAAAACGCAAAAATATGTAATGAATCTCTTTGATACGAAATTGTACGAACTTGCTTGAATTACTATCAAAGTACATCCGCAATCCAGGGAAGCAAATATGGAGCCTGGTCTGGGGGCCTTTATTGAAGGAAATATAGATTCAGTGATGTTGCAAGTTGGACGAGAGAGTGGGGTGGGGGAGAGCCAGAGGAAATACAAGATAAGATATGAATAACCCCAGCAGTAATCATAAATAATAATTGTTAAGCTTCTCCTTGGGCCAAGTGCGTCTGATCCCCACTTTGATTTGTTGTTTCTAGTGGTAATGGATAATAATAGTAAAATATGCGGGGTATTTTCCCCTTCTTCTCCCCTGCAGTCAACTTAGGGACTTGGTTGCAGAAAAAGGCTTAGCCAGAGGTGTTCTGTAATGGGCAGAGGTTAGTTGAATTGAAAAATGGATGACCGACCTCCTTTTCATTCTATATATATATATTGCACGCATTGTTGGGTTGGGTTGGTTTGATTAGTTGGAAGCTAGATACCAGTTTCTTTCTGCGATGTAACTAGGTAGGGGTGGCTGAAATTAATAAGGTTTGGATTTGCAGTAGCTAGCAGCTCTCCTCCTAATCCTAGTATCTTTTCTTTGGCAGAGATTTATCCATTACGGAGAAATGGGTGCATGATATGCTTGGCGCTGTACGGAGTTGAATGAGCAGAGAGTCGGGAAAAGAAAACAAGAAAGAAAGAAAGAAATCATCATGGGATAATATAAGTTATAATGGCGGATCGATCTCCGGCTCTGCCTCTGCCTCTCCCTCCGCAGGAGATGGGGGCTGCGCCATGGCCTGTGCTACTGCAACTACAGAGCTGAGGCGAATATAATATATATATATATATTATGAATGAACAAAATCTATTGGTTACAGAGCCCAAAAACGACAAATTATGGAATTCCACATCCTTGATTTGAATGGCATTCTTCTTAAAAGTCCCGTTCCTGGAAATAAAAGAATCTATTTTTATTGTGCTTTACTTTACCAACCAAACCGAATTGCATATCAGCAGAAAATGCAGCAGTGGAAGGAAGGAAGGAAGGAAGCATTGCACACCTAACCTAACAGTCTCCTGGAAACTGCTGCTGCTGCTGCTGCTGCTGCTATTAGTGAAATTTTGATTGGGGGGGAGCATTGCTTTGGTAGCAATAAATTAATGGCTCTCTTTTTGTCTCCTTTTTTTTTTTATATATAGTTTCTTATTTTGGGCTGAGGAGTCAGCACAGCAGACATGATTGAGTCGGAAGGAATCCATCCATCCATCCATCCATCCAGCACATTTGGTACATCCCCTCGAGACAAAAAAGTAGGATCGGGCTCAGCTCCACCCTTCCTTCTTGCTTGTTCTATCTATCACAACTGCCAACGATCTCTGCAGGCTTTTCACACACCAGACTTCCATTTGTTCATGGACTGGACTGGTCTGGTCTGGTCTGGTCAAAAGTAAACGAGTGTGCTACGTAGTTTCAATTACGGGTAGCAGTAGAAGAAGAAGAAGAGTTGTAGTGTCTTGGGGAATAAATACAATATACTTGGCTACGTCTGTGGCAAAATGTACGTTGAGCATTGCCAAGTGCATGAAACGGGGAAAGAGAAGTGACGTGCAAGGTAAGGGACGTGGGAAGCACACGAGGTTTGGGCCACTCTCACTCTCTCAACTGCCAGCCACACTCTATGCTTTGCTTTCCTACCCAGCTATTGATCATACTAGTCACGAACCCGGCCGGTTGGCCGGATTCATTTCCAAATTGCATAAATACTAAATAGGTATCAATGTCGGGTTCATTTGCTAATCGTGTAAATAGGAGTAGCATGAGTTTCGCCTGTTTTGTTAGTTTACAAAAATCTAGGTCGCTGAAATTATCGAAATGTAAATTTCTTGCTAGCGTAAAAGATTCCAAATTATTAAAGTACTTGACCCATTTAAAATACGGACATCATAGTATTTTGGGACATCCTAAGCGACTCAAACGAACATAATTAATTTACGAAAAATCAACGACAAACCCTTTACCAGGGAACCGAATTCGAAAATTGTTCTGAATAACCCTTATCTTTACTCATCGTTAGTGTCGTGCTCATCATCATCCTTCATTATAGGTGCGTCCATGTCCATCGCCGTCACTGTTATCGCCAAATGGAATGATAATTAACCCCATTTTGGTTTGCTCAACATCAAACTCATAACACGCGAGCAAATATGGTGTGTAAATGTTTAAGAACTTCACCTTTGTCCAAAATTAATTACTTATGGAATTCTTCGATTCGCGAGTGGTAAGGTCGCTCCTAAAGAGATGAAATTAATTGTACCTACAAATTTAGCAGTCATTTGATTAAATTTCGGTTAGTTAGTGTCAATGTTTGATCAATGAAAATAAGGTAATTAAGATGCCACCTTACCATTGTATGGAACGATGCATAATGAAGTAATGACCCGGATGAGAGGTCGGTTGCCCGCATTTTGAAAGATTGAATTTAGTTGGGCGACTATCCTACCAAAAAGAATTACCTTGACGACCAATTCCCTATAGTCAAATTGTATATTAGAGTTGCGATTAGAGTTAAGAAAATTCATTATATTTAAAATTAATAATAAAAAGAGTTACATACTTGGAAAGTTTTTGTTGGAGCTCTGTGTGTGTAACCTTTCTGGTTAGTGTAGTAGATATCATTAAATCTGAATCCTTAATAAATTGGCCGACGAAATCTGTGTAACAAATAATTGATAAAAGTAAGTTTTTGGTTGTCCATGCAACATAATATTTTTTATTCGAGAATAATGCTTAATACCCGAAAGATATTTCCTTTGGTCGGACTTCCTCTCGATCTCATCTTCTTCGATGAAGTAAAATTTGTACGCTGATATCTCTGGATTATCGTGGGCTGCTTTGCCCTAGGTATTGGATTAAAACTTGATGACAAATTTGTTCGAGATTGGGCTATAATCTCCCATTGTCATATCGACCTTAAAGTTCTTTATAGTGTAAATTCTTTGATCCCGAAACAGTGGTTGGAAGTTATTGATTTGCCCTTTGGGAATTTGCACCAAAATTTCATTACTCTAGGTTAAAAAATAGGCGTATCAATAATTGTCAAGGCATTGAATCACAGAGATAATTTTTGTTGTTGATTGTGTATCTTTGAGTCGATATCATATCGAGACAGACTCGACATTGATGTGTGCCTAAAATCGCAGTAATAGGTATCTGTTATAAGGAACAACAAATCAATTATCTAGTGAGACCGCATTTATCGTACATGATCTATTGTTCTCGTTACGACGATACCTTGCAAAACCATTGCCATCAATAGTTGTTTGGCTGCAGAATTTCTTCGGAAAATGTTTAGAACATACACCATTATTTGTACATGGGGCTTTAGGTCATTGAATGTCACATGAACCATGAAACATAAAGTTTGCAACTACTTCGTAACATTCAGATCTGTTTTAGGATTTGGAATTTGGTCAATGGTTGATCAATTATCTTTTAACTCTGACTTATGTGCTTCAATTTCTTAAAAAAAAGATTACACGTGTTGTTGACTACTGAAAAATCTAATGTTAAAAAATATAGCTATTACATAGTCCGAGGAAGTCAGCGTACCTGTTTATACTTTAGAAGAACCGGTCGATGGAGAAGAAGAAAACAACTATCACGTTTGTGGTCTTGTAGTTATGGGTAGGGGTGGGCATCGGTCTGGTCTGGACCGAATCGGAACAAATTCAGAGAATCGCGGTCCAATAGTAAATTATAACTTAGGACCAAGGACTGGACCAATAGTGCATTCGGTCTGTTTGATCCGCTTTGGTCCAGTCCAAATGTAAATTCGGTCCATTTTTCTTCAGTTTCAGTATTTATAAAATTCTTGAGATCAAGTACCGGACAATATTATAACAGTAATAATATTCCTACATCCTTACCAAAAGTATAGTTAGTAAAATACTGTAGGGGAAAGTTATGTAGAAAATACGTACGGGTATTTTACTTCGTCTCTAAACTAATGTTACGTTTAATATTATATTAATAGTCATAAATATATAAAATTAATTATTTTGAAAATAAAATAAATATAAAAATAATAGTAAATTCAATTCATTAAATACGGATATCAAACGTGTTATACATAATTTAATTCATTAAATACCTACGGGTACATATACATGTATTAAACGTAGTATTTATTATTACAGCCCGTAAAAAAAATATGGGCCCATCTTGCTAGAATTTGTGTCTTCATTAATTTGGTCCATATAATTATGAGCCTCTACAGTAAACTCACATCTGGTGATGACGCATGTGCCCATGCGAGTTAAAATTGTTTATACCCAAAATCTCCTCTCGTGAGATGCGCAGAGAGCAGCAAAAGGGAATTCAAAGGGGTTACTGCAAAGAAACTCTATATAGTATTGTTAGGATATGTGTTTAACAGGCTTGTAATAGCTCGGCTTTGTTTTGTAACTGTTGGGCATAGGACTCGGGCCTAGCCACGCCAAGGAACCGGGCGCAACTGGACGAGACCCCAACACGGCAGCGCGAGGACCCCGAGTGTGCCGCCTCATCATGGCTAACCACGTCCAGGCGCGAAGAGATGACAGGCGCTAGGGGATGACTAGCGTAGGCTGAACCAGAAGATGAGGGAAGCGCACCTCTTCCAAGCGGGTAGTCACATCAGGGCCATGAGTGGATCTCTGACTCATCCTAGGTAGAGGGATGGCCTAAAAGCCTTAGTGTGCTAGTGGTCACATCATTGTATCCCAGTAGTCACATCACTGTATCTCTCCCTATGTCAACCACTCACCCACCACCATGAAGCCTATAAATATGGCATTTACTACGGTGGGTGGGGGGATCGCATTTTTTCACCATTCTCTCTCTACAAGAACTACTTCTCTTTCTAATCTCTTTCTCACTCAACTCTCTGATTCTGGTTCCACTGATCTAGCTCGGCTCTCGCGTTTCTTCTCGACCCAAACTCTCCTTCGAACCTCACTCCTACACTCAGTTAGGTTCAAACAATTGGCGCCCACCGTGGGGCCGAGAGGAAACGCTGAAAAAGATCCACCAATGGCAGAGAGCAATCTTGAACAACCTGACCAAGCAACGCCGATCAAGGCGATGACTGACCCAAGGACGTTCGCAGAAGCCAGCAACCTCAACGCGGTACTCATCGAGGAAGAAGAGCCGGAGCTGACGCCCAAAGAAATGAGGGAGCTGTTGACGAAACAAAACAACGTCATAGCCGACGTGCAGAGACAAATGAGCCAGGTAATCGCGCTCATGATGAGCAAGGAAGGCGCGCCAACGATGGACGCGACAGCGATCGCGCCTCAAACAAGCCTTGGGAGAAAACTTCAGGGACAATCCTGTCGTCACAACTCGCGCCAGCGGAACTTCCCGCGCGCGGGATACAGGAAGTCGAACCACCGGGGCGGGCAGACCTCAGCTTCTTGGAACAACACCTGACTCCGCAATACCGACCCACCCCGCCCAAAAGGACCCTACACCAGCCGTTGAGCGCGCAAATAATGGCAGAGAACCTAACCGGAGCGCCACCAACCCTCCCGACATACAACGGCACTACCGACCCGGAGGACCACGTGAGCACTTTCTGCCTGCGCATGCAACTCCAAACCAACTCCAACGCCGCGCTGTGCAGAACCTTCCCCTCGACATTCACCGGATATGCCTCGATTGGTACAACCGCCTTCCCAATGGAATCATCAACTCGTTTGAGGAGTTCATACTTCTGTTCACCACAAAATTCGCGTCCCAGAAGCGACGCCCCCTCCACCTCAAGGCCCTGATTGATATCAGGCAAAAAGACGGAGAAAGCCTGAGGGCTTTCTACGCCAGATGGTCCAGGGTAG